CTCTCGGTCTCTTATGGGGGTCTTCTTATGTTCCACACACACACACTCCCATCCCCCTGGGAGAGCAAGAGGGCCTGAGCCCAGAGTGTCTTTCCAAGGCAGAGTGAAGAAGGAAAGATCTTGAGCAGGGGGTTGGACTAGAAGACCTCCAAGGTCCCTTCCAATTCTATTATTCTGTTACTCGTTTATAGTACCAGTTTATAGAATAGAATAGAGCTGGAAGGGACCTTGGAGGTCTTCTAGTCCAGCCCCCCACTCAAGCAGGAGAACCTATACCATCTCAGACAAGTGACTGTCCAGTCTCTTCTTAAAAACCTCCAGTGATGGAGCGCCCACGATTTCTGGAGGCAAGCTGTTCCACTGGTTAATTGTCCTCACCGTCAGGAAGCTTCTCCTTAGTTCCAGGTTGCTTCTCTCCTTGATCAGTTTCCAACAATTGTTTCTTGTCCTGCCTTCAGGTGCTTTGGAGAATAATTTGACCCCCTATTCTTTGTGGCAGCCCCTCAAATACTGGAACGCTGCTATCATGTCTCCCCTGTTTCTTCTTTTCTTTAGACTAGCTAAACCCAAGTTCCGCAGCCGTTCTTTGTATGTTTTAGTCTCCAGGCCTTTGATTATATTAGTTGCTCTTCTCTGAACTTTTTTCCAAACTCTCAACCTCTGTTTATACAACCCAGGATTGTATTAGCTGTTTTGGCTGCTACTGCACACTGCTAACTCATAGTCAAGATATATATCACTGGTGGGACCACACTTGTAATTGTGTGTCTGATTCTGGTCACCACAATATAAAAAAAAGGAAGGCTGAGACTCTAGAAAGAGTGCAGAGAAGACCAATCATGATAGATAGATAGATAACTTTTATTGTCATTGTTTTACTGTGGGCACACTGGCACACATTAAAAATGAAATTCTGTTGCTTGCTCTCAAAAGTATACAAATAACACATATATAAACATGCGATATACAACATATGTATATACCTACACCCTTGCATATAAATACATGTAAATAATCTGTCCATCTTGAATACATAACGGAAAGAGGAAGTTTGAGAGTTCACAAGATTGAAGCTATATGGAAAAAAATTGTGACTGAATCTGGATGTTCTTGCTTTGGATACCACAAAGCCCCCTCCCAGAAGGTAATAAGGAAAACAGGTCATGAAGAGGATGTGTAGTGTCCCAAACCATCTTGCGGATCCTGCTCAAGCAACACTTATGTGCCATGGATGGAAGGGAGGGAACTGCCAATAATATTTTCTGCTGTCCTCACCACTCTCTGCACCGCCTTCCTGTCTGAAGCAGGGATGCTTCCAAACCAGACTGTGATGCTGCATGACAGGATGCTCTCGATCGCCCCCTGTAGAAAGTGGTCAGGACAGGGGAAGGAAGATGTGCTATTCTCACACGACGTAGAAAATGCAGGTGCTACTTTGCCCACTTCACCAGTGTCTTGCTGTTGAGCGACCAAGGGGGCTCAGTTGTACGCTGAACAATTAAAAGAGGTAGATATATTTAGCCTAATAGGAATAGGAATATTCTGTAGTGGCCAGGTATGATTGGACACACAAGGAATTTGTCTCTGGTGCAAATTTCTTGTGTGCAAATAATGAAGAGAACGCTCAGGGGAGACCTGACTTCCATTCCTTGAAGGGGTGTCATGGGGAAGAGGGGGTTGATTTATCATTTCCCCAAGAACCTGGGGGTGGGACAAGAAGCAATGGGTGGAAGCTCCTCAGACAAAGACCCAACATGGCAGAAGGGGACAACTTGATGCAGCTGATTTGCCCTAGCCAACTCCTGGTGGGACAACTCACTGCAGACACAATTCAACTCAAGAGAAGGACAAGTGAATTGCAGTGGGCCTTGTCTTGCTTTAGGTTTGAACCCTCTCAAATATGCCAGTATCTGAAGGGCAGCCCCAAAGAGGAGGGGGTCAGCTTATCTTCCAAAGCATCAGCGGGCAGGACAAGAAACAATGGATGGAAACTAAAGAAGGAGAGATCCCAAAGCTGCTGCTGCCGCTTCTTCTTCTTCTTCTTCTTCTTCTTCTTCTTCTTCTTCTTCTTCTTCTTCTTCTTCTTCTTCTTCTTCTTCTTCCTTCTTCTTCCTTCTTCTTCCTTTTTCTCCTCTCCTCCTCCTCCTTCTTCTTCTTCTTCTTCTTCTTCTTCTTCTTCTTCTTCTTCTTCTTCTTCTTCTTCTTCTTCTTCTTCTTCTTCTTCTCAAGGAACTGGCAGATGTAATATCAGAGCCACTGAACTATATTTTTCAAAGATCCTGGAACACAGGGGAACTACCAGAGGACTGGAAAAGAGCTGATGTAGTTCCCATCCTCAAAAAAGGAAAAAAAATGGATCCAGGAAATTACAGACCTATCAGCCTGACCTCAATACCTGGGAAGATCCTGGAAAAGATAATCAAACAACGAATCAACGAACACCTAGAGGCAAACAAAGTCATTACTAAAAGCCAACATGGGTTTGTCAAAAATAGATCATGCCAGACAAATCTTATTGCATTCTTTGACCAAGTGACAAAATTAGTGGATCAGAGGAATGCTGTGGACATAATTTACTTGGACTTCAGTAAGGCATTTGATAAAGTAGATCACAACCTACTACTTGACAAGATAGAAAAATGTGGGGTAGACAGAACCACCACCAGATGGATCCGTAGCTGGCTGACCGGCCGTACTCAGCGAGTGGTCCTCAATGGAACTGCATCTATATGGAGGGAAGTGTGTAGTGGGGTGCCCCAGGGCTCTGTTCTGGGCCCAGTACTCTTCAACATCTTCATCAATGACTTGGATGAAGGGATAGATGGGAACTCATCAAATTTGCAGACGACACCAAGCTGGCAGGAATAGCCACACTCCAGAAGACAGGCTTCAGATACAGAAGATCTGGACAGACTTGAACACTGGGCACTAACTAACAAAATGAAATTCAATGGTGAAAAAAGCAAGGTTCTACATTTAGGCAAGAAAAACCAAATGCACAAGTACAGCATAGGTGGCACCATGCTCAATAGTAGTAACTGTGAGAGGGACCTCGGAGTCCTAGTAGACAATCACTTAAATATGAGCCAGCAGTGTGCTGCAGCTGCCAAAAAGGCCAACACAGTGCTAGGCTGCATTAACAGAGGGATAGAATCAAGATCACGTGAAGTATTAATACCCACTCTTTACAATGCCTTGGTAAGGCCACACTTGGAATACTGCATCCAGTTTTGGTCACCACGATGTAAAAAAGATGTTGAGACTCTAGAAAAGTACAGAGAAGAGCAACAAAGATGATTAGGGGACTGGAGGCTAAAACATATAAGGAATGGTTGCTAGAATTGGGTATGTCTAGTTTAACGAAGAGAAGGACAAGGGGGGACATGATAGCAGTGTTCCAATATCTCAGGGGCTGCCACAAAGAAGAGGGAGTCAAGCTATTTTCCAAAGCACCTGAAGGCAGGACAAGAAGCAACGGGTGGAAACTAATCAAGGAGAGAAGCAACCTAGAACTAAGGAGAAACTTCCTGACAGTTAGAACAATTAATCAGTGGAACAGCTTGCCTCCAGAAGCAGTAAATGCTCCAACACTGGAAGTTTTTAAGAAGAGACTGGACAGCCATTTGTCCGAAATGGTGTAGGTTTCCTGCCCGCGCAGGGGGTTGGACTAGATGACCTCCAGGTCCCTTCCAACTTTACTATTCTCTCTCTTCTTCTTCCTTCTTCTTCTTCTTCTTCTTCTTCTTCTGTCTTCTTCTTCTTCTTCTTCTTCTTCTTCTCTTCTTTTTTTTTTTTTTAAATTGAAATTTTTCAAAAGTTTTACAAATAAGAATCCACCCCCCCCTCCCCAACCACCCCACCCCCCCCCGACTTCCCAGAACTGAATATAGGATTATTTAACAAATATTTTAAAAATAACATTTGCAATTTATAAAATAATTAATAATAATAATAAAAATCACAGTAATAATATATATAATAATAATATACATAACATAAACTTTAAAATGAATAATATATACTAAAAAAGAGAAAAAAAAAATAAAAAGAGAAGAGAGAGAGAGAAAGAAGAAAGAAGAAAGTAGACGAAGAATAAAGCATATATATATAAAAAAAATATATGAATAATAATACATAAAAAATGTATATATATAAAAAAGAAAAAGAAGAAAGAAAGAAAGAAAAAACAATCATTACAAATTATAAAAAGGCTAAATAATATTTTTCCATATCCAAATTATGTTGTATAAAATTTATCCATTTTTCCCATACCGCAAAAAATTTTTCTTGAGATTGCTCCTTTAAGAAAGCCGAAATCTTTGCCATTTCTGCCAAATACGAAACTTTATGAAACCATTCTTGTAAAGTAGGCAAAGATTCCTTCTTCCAATATTGTCCTATTAACAACCTAGCGGCTGTAATCAAATTTAACATCAATATAACCTCCTTAGCATCACAGTCAATAACAATACCTAGTAAAAATAATTGCGGAGTAAATTTTACCCTCCTTTTAAAAATTCTTTGAATATTCCACCATATCTTAATCCAAAAAGCTTTTATATGCTTACACGTCCACCAAATATGGTAATAGGTAGCATCCAAATATCCACATCTCCAGCATTTCGGCTGTAGATTAGGGTACATAATGGACATTTTCTTTGGGTCAAGGTGCCATCTATAAAACATCTTATAAAAATTCTCTCTTAAATTTTGCGCTTGTGTGAATTTAACATTTCTTATCCAAATAAGTTCCCAAGTATCCATTGAAATCGTTTCACCAATATTCTGTGCCCATTTAATCATACAATCTTTAACTAGTTCAAGTTCTGAATCTAATTCCACTAAAACCCCATAAACTCTCTTAATATGGGTTGGCCTTTGATCTCTTACTTGTTTTAAAAAAATTCCATCTTCTCTAAGCCAGCCCATTTTACAATCCATCTTCCATCTATCCACTATTTGTCTATATTGGAACCATGAATAAGTTAAGTTTTCATGTG